AGGCTGTTTCCAAAAAAACACTAAAAGAAAAGAGAAAAAAAACTCGTTTTGCACTTATGACCATAATGCCCAGCTGTTTGTTTTCCTTCGAAGTGTTGTTCCTTCGCACAGTACAAAATTTCAAAGAAAATCCAACTCATGCACCGGTATCTCAATCAAATACTAACCATTCCTAATGATGTAGATGATTACCAACCATGGTTTAGACTTTAGACGATACAATTGATAGAGTAACAATGACAAGTAGCTCGACTTCAATAGAGTTGGAAGCAACCCTTGCATAATTGTCTGGTATTCTGGAAACTACCCCAGCTCAACCCAAGCCCTTGCAAACCTCAGCAGTAGGATTCTGTAAGATAGTTTAGAGATAGAATTACCTCTCTATGACAGAACTGAACTATACGACTTGACAAAGTAGAAACCATGCTATTATAACAGCTATACCATATGTACAAATATCACCAACAAATGAACAGCACAGTATCCCAGCACTCGTTGGCTAATCAAAGTCAAAGCAGCCTTCTTCAGTTCAACAGGTCACCAGTAGAGCCATTGATTCTTCAGAATCTAACATCGCCATCACCTCTAAAGTTACCTGGTTTGGTTCCAAAATCAGTCGTTAATTCAGCAAAGAGCACACATTCATTGACCAACCCATTGACTTGGTAGCAGATGTTTCGAACGATTGTTGCGTACCTAAATCCAGTCTACATCCTAAAGAAGAAGCTGTTCAAAGACTACATCCTAAAAACCTTTTTAATTAAAATCATTATAAAACATGCTGGCACTTGAGCAAATATGCCAGAGCAACATCCTCAATTTTCAAACTAAAAGAGTTACAATTATGGACTCTTCACCCTGACTACTTCCCAAAAACGGTTTAACTTCAAGCGGCAGCTACTAGAACCCCAATATAAGGAGTGGGCAAACAACTAACAGAACTATAATGGCAAACCTAATGGATCACAAGCAACATAGAAAAACCAGAACTTGGAAGAGTAATCACAAGGCAGAAAATTAAACCCATGATATGTATTCTTTTTTTTTTAATTTATAAGAAAGCAAAAAAGTAAACTCTGGATATGGATTTCATGTATAGCTAATCTGAGCATAGTTGCATATGGTACCATAGTCTTGCATCATAGACCTCTGGCCTAAAGAAGTTTACGTAGAGAGTGTGCGTCTTACTTCTACATACAACAACAACAACAACAACAACAACAACAAACCCTGTGTAATACCAGTGAGTGGGGTCTGTAGGGTAGAGTGTGTGCAGACCTAACCCCCTTGAAGGAAGAGAGGCTGTTCCAGATAGACCCGAGTCTATGTGTAATACTTTTAAATGTATGGAAAAACAAAGAAATGAGACCAGCCTGGAGTATGACCAAAATTCTCACCTGGAAGATGGGGACAGTTAAGTGATGGACAACAGATGCAGAAAAGACTGACTAAGATCCCACACTTAAAAGTAAGTAAATAAGCACTAAAGGTATTTATTAGTCTGATACTTGACTTCCCTGCCCCGCTTAGTGAAAACCTGCCATCAGTCCAGTAGCTCAGAGCTGTATATACACTAAACAATTGATCAGAAAAACAAGCTAGAAGCGGAACCTGAGCAAAATTTACCTAAACGAGAAAAAGTACAAAAACTTGTGCCTCGGCTATTATGCAAATAAAAAGTACTTTAATTTTATGGAAGCCAGAACTTGTGCTTAAGCAATTACAAAAGCAGATAATTAAATTTGAAATGATAAGTGCAATGGTACATGAAGTAAAACTAAATTCAGGAGTTAAAATCTGCCAGAAATGCAACTTTTTAGCATATTTAGGCTCAAATCTTCCAAAATCCTACAAAAAGAGTAACTCCATCCACAGCTCAAGAAGCAATCACTTTATTTACATTTATTGTTATCATGATCTTTTTTTTCCTTGATACTATTAGTTTTGTTAGATAAATATCAAAACTAATATACTCCAGAATGTTTGGCGACATTCCTTTTCTAAACATCTTTCAAAAGTGGAAATTCATTACAACAATAAAAAAAATTGAACTTTGATGTAACATTTCTCAATCAAACTAACTTGTGAACCACTATTGTATACATTTTGCTCCACAATCACTAATATTTACATATAAGTCATAAAGTTTCAAAAGCAACATTCAATTAAATAACGCCATATAAAATGGGACAAAGTATTTTTATGATAGTCATGATTATCTCTTTCTACAAAACTATGTTCAGAATCAGCACCATAGAGCGCCACCCCCACACTTATAAGGAATGGAGCATGAGGAATGAAACCATATAAAGCTGAACTCAATCGATCTTTTAATAAATAAGCAATTATTGTAAACAGTTTCAATACCAAGTTGGTATCGCTAGTTACAAAAGCATCTGTGGAGTGTGGACTATACACCCTATGTATCTATGAAATCAATGAAGTCTAGCACTTAGATCTTTATATTTAAAACAAAAAAAAAAAGAAAAGGTTCGTGCATGGTTATAGCCTGTTTGGCCAAGCTTTTGAAAAGTCAAAAGTGCTTATTTTTTTTAAAAAAGGAAGTGCTCAACAACAGCATACCCAGTGTAATGCGTTTGGGGAGGGTAGAGAGTATGCAAACCTTACCCCTATCTTGCGAGTTAGAGAGGTTGTTTTCAATAGACCCCCGGCTCAACAAACAGTATATCAAAGCAAATCCAAAAAAGAACAATAGAAGTGAAGAAATCATGACAAAATACGGTAGAAAGCACGACAAAGCCTTCTGGAGGAAAAAAAAAAGGACCAGTAACTACAGCAAATTTGTTGTCCTCTCTTTCTTACATGAAAACAAAATTGTCAGCTCAATCATGAAAAAATGTTTTACTACATTGGTTTCAAATTTGACTTTGTAAGTTTTTAAGTATCATACTTTATAAGAAACTCACTCATAGTTAGAACTTCCGAATTCTAAATTCATTTAATTATTCAAACATTGCACTTTGGTGTGGCATTCTATCTATCAAACTATATTTACAACCACTACGTAGATATTGTCATCCACCACAACTGACAACAAAATATATAAAGCCGAAAAAAGCTCTATTAATATACACCATTATGCATTTTGGTAAAAAAGAAATATGACGAACACATGACAACAATGAAAACAAAAGGAAAAACCAATGAAAATCATAAGCATTATAACCTTGCTTCACGGAACAAAATACAGAATAAACCAAAATAAAGGCCACTAGAAAACAATAAATAGACAACGCCAATAAAGAGTGACATGTACATCATTAAATTCAAAAAACCAGGAGAAGAAAAATTAGCAAAACCCTAGATTTGACAGCACATATAGATAACAAATAATGAAGCCTATAAGAAGCAACTAAACAAAGATTAGAAATGGAGGATGAAATGCAGCAAACAGTAAAGCAAAAAAAGTTACCTAGCTTAGATTTCTTAAAGCTGCCATTGCCATTCATAAGGCTATATGGCCTTCCCCTTTTACAACCACCACCGAACTCCATTGAAGCAGAAGAATAACTCGCCTTTGCAAAGGTTGGAGACAAAAAGAAAAAAAGAAATTGAAACACTAAAATCTCAGAGAAGACGAAGGGTTAGCGCAAATTGCTACTCTAATATTGGCAAAAGTACATTTCAAATTGATTAGCCGAACACTCACTGCTACTCTCCAAAAGTACTTTTTCAAGAAGCACTTTCCAAAACAAGCAGATTTTTTAAGCGTTGCTAATCAGGTCTCACCACAAAATTCCTACCACCCCAAAAGATTTATCTTCAGAACATCTGTGACACTTATACCATGCCGTCTAGAAATTTCAAGATGTAAGATTAAATTCAACCCATAAGTACAAAGAATCATCATTTACCGATGACAGTGACCTCAAAACTAGATTGTACTTAAAATGGAAGATTAAATGAATACAGTTGGGAATGCTTAAAACTCAAGAATTGATGCCATTACCAAGAAGATCTCATGTATATGCCATACATATAGACTTCACCCTCTGTTACATAGATTTGAAGCAATTGAATCATATCCAAAACATAACATAAACACATGGGGCGGGAATCATTACTCATTTCTTGTTTATAACAAAAAAATTTAAAGTATATACATTTTCTATAAAAGAGCATACTTCTTGATTGAAGTAATATTATGAAATAGAACCTTACAAAAATTAAATGGAAAGTTTGAAGAAATACTTCACGACACTGCATTGCTTAACATGATAATGTTGAACATAGAAGAGGTTTCTATCTCTAAGTGACTAGTATGGACAAATAATTAATCTAATTGATGCTCTCAATTGTAAAGTTTTCTCATTTCCTCTAGTTGTACAACACACATAGGAAATCCTTCAAAGTTGACCGCTACAGACTTGACGTAGTGAAAATAAAATCCCAACACCCCCACCGCTCACAAGGGAAATAGCAACAACCAACTTCCCATATTTACTAGTACGGGCACTGATGCACCTGCCACCAAGCAGACTCTAATAGTTAACCTGGGCCTTTTGGCCTCTGCATCTGGTTCAGCAGAATACCATTCTTCAAAGCTTTCCACAAGTTACCACGTGCTTTGACTAGGTACTGCAAACAAGAAGCATTAGGTAGAAATAGGTCAGGTCTTAAAAGGTACATCCAACAACAATGACCAATTCTATGCTGCATTCAGTTTTTGTTTCTTGTAACCTTTTTTCCAAAGTCTGAAATCTTTAGCAAGTGTACTTATCATTTCTTTCCTGTGTTTTACGTAGAAAAGGTCTATTTTTTCCAAAGAGTCTCCTCTTAAAACTAGCTTCATGGCAAGTTTCCTAGATCACCAAATCAAAATTTCCATATAGAAATTTACAGTAGATTCTATTGCCATAGAAGGCTTCAATGTGGGTGTATGTACATAAAAATGCTCTAGTAAACTGCCACCAAAAGAGTTTCAATGTTCACAACAAATATTAAATCTCTATAGAATGCATCGAAAACTCCACATATGAACTTATGATAAAACACGAACATCAACTAAATTTTGATCCTATAACATAACATTTATATCCTATATTTCAGCATAAGAGAGGACACCACTAAAAAATTGATCTTTTTGGGCAAAATCGAAAGACATTGTAGATAAAAATCATACCCAAAAAGGATAATTATATACATATCTATATGTTTCTCTTTTTAACTTCAAGCATCAACCATCATTATATCACCATCTTCATCGCGCATTGCATCCAGATCCCTTTCTCTAAGATCATCATCAACATCCTCACCAACTTCAGTCAAGGATGATGCTGTTGATACTAGAACAACATTATTATCTCGAAATTCTCTACCACCAATTTCACCATCCAAAATCACTTCTAGTTCCTTTTCAATTTCATCTTCATCTTCTTGCGGCAATTTATGCCGACAAAGTGGACAAGTATTACTCCGATTAAGCCAAGGGACAATACAATCATTATGAAAAAAATGCTTACAAGGCAATTGACTCGCTTCCGTATCAATTCCAAATTCCTCCATACAAATCGAACAGTTTTTCGATGATTCATCGATTTTCACACTCGGAAGTGAGTTGAGAAACGATTTAAGAGTCGGTGAACGGAATTGAGTTGAGTTAGACAACTCAAACGAAAGATCGTCGGAATCACTCTCATCGGATTCAGTTTCGGAATCGGAATAATCAAAAGTAACAGAATTGTTGGTGGAAAGGGTAAAATTGGTAAGAGTTAAATGTTGAGAAAAAGGCATAAGACTGGCAATGGTGTAATTAGGGAGGAGGTGGCGATGAAAGCAGCGAGGGCAACGAAAGGAGGAGCTGACGCCGGCGGTGGTGGTTATGTGAAAGGCATCGTTGCAGTTGTAGCACCGGTAAGAACGGCGGTTACCGGCGGTGGAGAGGGTGGCCTCCGTCATCGACATGACGGACTTTTGGTGTCCTCTTACTCGGTTTCCTCGAGGCACACACTATAGTCTAACTTATTTTTATTTCATTTTTGGAGAAAAGTTAAGAATAATGTATATTTAAATTGTTTTGTTCATGAACCGGTGGAATATATCATCATTATTATATTTTGACATCAAATTTTATGTTATAAAAGATATATTTATATCAAAATTATTCCTTTTTTTGATATAAATTATTGAAGTTAAGGTCAAAAATACATTTTATATCTAAATTAGCTCATTGATTAGTGAAACACACCTAGATGCTGACTAGATCAAATGGTTGTCTAGATATGCTTTTAGGCGTATGTCCATAAAATTTACATCCAACTAATATAGGTTCTATTTGATGACATATTAACTTTTTAATATATCCTTAATTAACTTTTTTTAATATTCTAAACTCTCCCCTTTATGTCGGAGAAATCAATGTCATGTCAGAGACGAGATCACGACTAAGAAGGTGGAGAAGAAGATGATGGATGTCACAGTGGAATAAATATATTTATATGGTGATAGTTTTAACCTTTAAATTTCATTTTTAATTTAGTATTAATTTATTTAGATTTGTCATGGTAAAATTATTTTTCTACATGAAGTGTCACGTTATATAATGTTTAAACAAAAGAGAGTGCACACATCATCATCAAAAATAAGTCAAGGAATGTTTCGCTAACTATTGAGTGATAGTTCAAGTACAAAACTTTTACTCTCAATAGTTTAGATATGAAACTCGAAAGACTATGATAGTTTAGTTTTGACCCTTTTAACTCTAAATATTATTATTATTATGTAATAAATGTCTATTTTTGTATATTTGTTTTGGAGAAAATTAATAACCCTAAAAATGTTAGTAATCCTAATTTTGAGACCAAGGAAGTTTTCCTTATAAATAAAGGATTTTTCTTGGTATTAAATCACGGAGAAAAATGATAAGTCTTCTCTTTTACTTTTTTCTCTATTATAGTTTTGTAGTATTATTTTATAATTTAATAACACATTACATATAAATGTCTAACCTTTTATTGGAGTTTAATGCACATTATTATCGTTTTCAAAAATTAAAGTCCGATGATGTCACTCACAAACTTACTAGTAATCGAGTGAGAAAGAAAGAATAGAACTCCTTTGTGGAGGAGAATAGTTTAACAGTATGTAATTAAGATATGTTTATATAACTTTTTATGATGTTTGGTTTAAGTAAATTTTGCTATACGAGCCTTTTGCTCATTAGTATTGATTTAATTTATTTTTTTTTGCTTCACTTGTAAGGTTATGTGTTGTGTTTATGTAACTGTTATTACTTTGGTGTTTATTTTCAGAAAAATGATCATTAGAAGTGTCAGAAATATATCTTGTCTCAATTATTTGATCGATATCTTTTAAAAAGATATTTTATATATTATTGAATTTAATTTAAATCTACTTTGTTACAAATCTATTTAATGGTGGATGTTTCACTTGATCTATTTCTAACGTAATGTATCTATTTATTATATTAATTAATTATCATTCTAACGTATTTGTCAAATGCTGTAAAAGGATGGTTTGAATATCCTATAAAAGGGTAGTCTTTCAACCTTATGAAATACACTTGAAGAGATTTATATTTTCCATCACCACTTGTCTTACTATATTGTTTAGTATTCTTATATTTTCCTCTTGTTTTACAACACGTTATCAGCACGAGTCTCTAACCAATTGAGACCTACTTAATTTGGGATTATCTTTTTTTCCTAAAAGTTAATCAATTTTCATTTAGAGTCAGTTTTCATCATGTCGAATTTGTCAAAGATTGAATTTGTGGCACTTGACATTTTTGGAAAGAACTATTTGTCATGGGTACTTGATGCTGAAATTCACCTTACCGCTAAGGATCTTGGTGATTGTATAATAGAAGGAAATAAGGCATCTGATGCTTATCGTGACTAACGACACTAAACCTACGGTATGAGTGTCTACGATCGTTGATAGTATAGTAACCCAACTAAAGGTTGGGGTCGTGTCCCAAGGGAGCGGTTTTGAGAATTGATAGAAAAATAGAATTTACATTCTAACTAGTCGTAGCTAAAGACATTTGCGATAAAAGACATTGTAAATTAAAGGGGGTGACACAAAAGTGTCAAATATCAAAGGGGGTTTTGTAACAAGTACTAAAACAACAAAATAAACAAGAAAATCAAGTATGGGGAAAGGTTCTTGGGATGTGGCCGCAATATAAGTTGAGATAAATTGTTAGGTATATGCTTTCGATAGGAAATTCGCAAAATAATAATGACTAGGCTAAACTTTAAATGGAAATAAGTTCCCTCTCGGGCAACTTACCCCGTTTCAAATGCATTCCTCTTGGACACCCATTTGTCGCATGAAAACCAGCCTACGCATTACTCCACTCACTCTCTCGAGCTGAGTGTTAGGATATGGGACTAGGGCTCACCCTCTCGGGCTGAACCTCATGTAGACCCACTCCTTAGGCCATCAGTTTAGTGGTTTTGGTTTCGCGACCTCCCTCTCGGGCATGCTGAAAACACATAGGTGGCTTTGTATTTGCAACTACAAACCCTTTAGATTAAACCACAACCACTAGGTGAAATCACCATTAAAATACATCTAACCTATCAGCAAGCAAGACCCAACAAGAATATCAACTCATATTTGCTAAATCACACCCCAAGAATGGAGTTTTTAGCCACACATCAAGAAATAAGAAATTATACCTAACATGATAAAGAAATCAACTGGGTATAAAAAATTAAACCTTGAATTAAGCTACGGAAGAAGAATAAAGAAGACTCACTTCCAACTTGGGGAAGATGAACTCCTTTCTTCAAGTCTCCACGAAACCCTCTCCAAACTTGAGAGAAAAATATCAGCTAAAGTATGTTCTAAAGTGAAAATAATAATAATAATTGTTCCACACTAAGACTACAACTCTAACTAGTATTTATAGTTTTCACAGATTGTGCTGCAGAGGATCGTTCGGCGACATTAGTCGAGATCACCGATGAACTCGACGATCCGCCCTTTAATCAACTCATCGCCTTCAGTGCCTTGCCTTCAGTATCCTCATATTTTGGATCATTGGGCGGTACAGTACTGCCTCGCGGAACTAATCGGTGACTCGTTGACTGTTCCTTATGTCTCCTTTTGATCCACTTCCTTCAAGGTTTCGCGTGCTGGAACAAATGGTGGTGCATGTCAATTCGGCGACTCGCCAAGTTAGACTCGGCGATCCGCATACTTTCATTTCTTGTTATTTTCAGCCATTTTTGCTCCGTTTTGCGCCTAAGTGTCCATGCTTCCAGTAAAACTTCAAATACCTGAAACTTAAGCATTTTAATCAAGTATTGAGATAAAACAAGCATTGGACACTATTTCTATTAAAATAAAGCCCTAAATGAGTTCAATTTGTTGACTCATCAGTATCAAGTCAGGATAAAGCGAAAGCTATGATTTTCCTTCGTCATCATCTTGATGAAAGTCTGAAGGTTGAATATTTAACAGTGAAAGATCCGCTTGAATTGTGGATAGGTTTGAAAGGGAGGTATGACCACCTCAAGGCAACGGTATTGCCAAGGGCTCGTTATGAGTGGATGCACTTACGGTTTCAAGATAATAAAATTGTAATTGAGTATAACTCTGTTGTATTTAGAATCACTTCCCAATTAAAATTATGTGGGAAAGTTATAAAAGATGAGGACATATTGGAAAAGACAGTAACTACTTTCCATGCCTCCAATATGTTATTACAGCAGCAATACCGTGAAAAGGGTTTTAAAAAATACTCTGAATTAATCTCATGCCTTTTGGTGGTTGAGCAGCATAATAACCTTTAATGAAAAATCATGAAGCCCGTCCTGCTAGAAGTGCTCCATTGCCGGAGGCACACAGAGTAGAAGCACACGGCCAGTCTGAAATAAGACAAAATAATCGGGGCCATGATAATGTGCGTGGATGTGGCAAGGGCAAAAGACGTATAATAATCGTCGAGGTGGTGGTCATAACAAAAAGGGAGAACAATGTTGGTTCTCAAAGTAATCCTTCTAAAGGTCATCGTTGTGGCCTTAAAGGTCACTGGAAAATGAATGTTGGGCACTTGAGCATTTTTGTTAGGCTGTATCAAAATTCATTCAAAAGGAAAGGAAATAAAGGCGGTGCCTCCTCTTCTAATGCCCGGGTGGAGTCACATTTGACTCTTAAAGATGATGTTCAGGCAGGATCTTCTCAAAAAATATGATGAGAATGTTGAGGCAAACTTAGCATTGAAAGATGATGTTTTTGATGGGCTCGATGATATTACTTATCTAGAAGCTGAGGACTTCTTTGGGGATCGCAATTGAAGATTGATAATTGAACTGGAAATGAATAATGTTGTTATGTGTTTTTAATGTCTTATTTAAAGATTTTCTTTTGTTAAGTTTCGTACTTTTTATTATGTATTTTTATTTTTCTAAAGATAAAATAAAATTTTCCAATCTTCAGTTGGATCCAAGATGAGTAATGGAGATATGTGCTTTCTGGACAATGCCACAACTCATACAATACTAAGAGAAAATAAATATTTTTCTCATTTGGTAATGAAAAAGGCATATGTTAATACAATATCCGGTAGTACAAAATTGATTGAGGGCTCTGAAAGAGCGGCCTTATTACTACCCGGAGAAATATTATTGGTAATTGATAAATGCATTGTATTGTAGTAAGTCTCATAGAAACTTGTTAAGTTTCAAGCTTATTCGCCAAAATGGCTATCATGTTGAGACTGCGAATGAAGGAAAGGTTGAATACCTTTATATTACTACAATAAATGCGGAGAAGAAAATTGTGCATGAAAAATTGCCTGCACTTTCTTCTGGGTTGTACCATACAAATATTGGTACAGTTGAATCACATGCCGTAGTAAACAAAAGGTTTACTCGTTTTAATGATTTTATCATTTGGCATGACCGGTTGGGTCATCTCGGTAATAATATAATGTGCAGAGTAATTGAAAATTCACATGGGCATACTTTGAAGAACCAA